TATATATATATATATATATATATAATCTGTCAAATAAGAACGGGTCGATCTTACAACTCTAGTGAGAGATATCGCTCTAAATCTTTCGTTGATAGAGGGAATCTTTGTCCTTGATGCATTATCAAGAAAGATTCAATTGTCATTGATTTTTCAATTTTTTGTAAGAGAAACAGACTGGACTGGACAATTATTAACATAATTGCATATTTGTTTTGATTGAGTACAATGCATATCTATGTATTTGAAAATTTTGTTCACTACTTTTTTAATAAATTCACTCGACCACTTATTTGATGACTGTATGTATTAACCTGACGTCTAATTTTGATCATAAGTGATGTTCTTTCGTATTTAGAAAATTATTTCAATTAGACTGTTATTAATTAATGCTTATTTATTATAATTATTATAATTATTAATTAATACATTATTTTTTCCGTGTAATAATGAATAAATAAAATTTATTATTACTATTTCATGCTACTAGTGTAAATGTGGTTTGAAATCATTTAAAGATCTTTTGTATGGTATTTGTTGAAGGTTTCTGCAAATCTATTCCGTACATTGCCACCTAGCGAAAATCCAGATTTTGATCCAGAAGAAGATGATCCAACCCTGGAGGCGAGTTGGCCTCATCTTCAGTTGGTCTATGAAGTCTTCCTTCGTTTTCTCGAATCTTCAGATTTCCAGCCTGCTATTGGCAAAAAAGTTATTGACCAAAAATTCGTGTTACAGGTAAAGTAGTATTACAATCTTGCTTTTCAATATTTTTCTCTAATATATCACACTTTTTAACAATCGATAAGAATGATAGGCTAACTTATGTATGTTAAAAGTAGGGAATATGGAATCTCGTTTTTTTTATTATTAATATTATTTCAACATAAATGATATGAAGATTTCAAAATGCAGAACTCTTGAGCAATCTGTTAGATACAATGTCTAATAAATAAAAGTTGTCAAAATTTAAGTCCAACATCAGTATTAACAAAAAAGTAAAAAGTGTGAAAATGAGGAGTCTAAAAAATGGAATGTTAAATGGAATACAATACTTACTAGTCAAATTTAATAATAATAAATAACACAATAAACAAATTAAATTCAAATTCGTTTATTTATGTAAACCGATCAAAATATAGTAAAAAGTAGTTTACATTTTTATTTTACAATAACATACAGAAAATAAAATAGCATCATTAGACGTGCAACGTCATTACGCATGGAAAATAAAGAATAAAATTAAATCTTGAATTATTGAATTATTACGTACAATAAATATTAGCATCTAACAAACATTATTATTCATAAGAAGAACCAAAATACTATATTTTTAAACGTTAATATTTATTTTAGTGATATAATGTTTATAATAAGATTTAAAATTGATATTGTCCATGTGCAATAAGTTTTTATATTTTCTATCTGCTACAATTATACAATAAAGATATAAACTATTTAAAATTGTGTATGGTAAATATTCAGATGGGGGGAGTCAGCGCAGATGACTTTGGCCTTGACATATGTTGTCAAGATTATGATCCTGAATAACCTCCAACAGATTTTTATCGCTCGTTATTTATTACAAGTTATTAATAAAAGAAGTTCAAGAAATATTATATCTTATTTCTAATATATTACAGTATGGGACATAATGACTTTCCAAACAAAGCAAGTTTCATTCCACTTTTCTCTCTGCCGAAAGGCGCACGACTTCCTACGCAAAGCAAGTTTCAGCCCACCTCCTCCTTAGGAGTGCATGCGACTTTCCACGCGAAGTGAGTTCCACCAATCCCCGCATAAGGCCATGCGACTTTCCACTCAAAGTAAGATCTATCCACATAAAAAGTCTTACATCCCTTGGCAGAAAAGGGAGGGGGAGACTCCATTCGTATGGGAAGTCGTGCGCTTCTTGGCAAAGGAAAGATGAAGTGGAACTCGATTCGTATGGAAATCATCCTTATCAGAGATCATTACGTAAACAGGAAAGGATATGAGAATTATTCTTAATATTATTTTTGACAAAAATGAGATGTTATTTTTCAAATTTTTTTGTTACTAACTTTTTACTGAACAACAAGCGACGGCTAAAATCTGTTAAAGATTACTCAGAGCCATGACTGTAACAATATATGTCAAGATCAAGGTCATCAGCGCTACTCTCTCCATTTGAATGTTTACTCTATATTTCAAAGTCTACATAAATGAATATGATCTTTATAAATAAATTTGCATTTCATTATTTATTATTAGTAACTTAAAATGGCAATTTATAAAAAATAAAAACCATTGTATAAAAAATACTTATAACCTAATCACAAGCAAGGCAATGTGACATACATTCTATAATCTGATAACGAATAAGTTGCTAATGGAATCTATTCCATATTCTCAATCCTTGATGTATTTCATATTATCTGCATATCGTCATATGACAAACAAAATCTTTCTGTAGCAATAAACAAGTTAGAAATTGCAATTAATTAGCATAATATTGTTCAATATTATTAAAAGCGTCTATGTGTATGTATATATATATATATATATATTAGGTATGGGAAAAAGTTCGTGGCGTTTTTCCCATTACATTTAATGGGAAAAACGCCACGAACTTTTTTCCACACCTAATATATAAGCATACAAACTTACCTTTAACTTACTTAAGTGTGAGAACACTTTTTAGAAAAAGCTATCGGATTTTCTGAGACAACGAAAATGAATAAATGTTTATTGTAATAAAACGCCTTGTTGTACTGAACTCATTACTTGTTATGACACGTTTGGCAGCAATTGTAACGACTTCCAGTGGTTGCCGCTAGATTGCAATGTTTTATTTAGAAAATAAGTTATTATTCCACATTAATAGTCTCCTATTCCGTATTCTCTGTTTTTATTCTACACCTCATTCACAGTGCAAATACGTATTCTGTACTCTACCATATTTTGTCTCATAGAAGAAGTATTTTGGCATAAATTTTTTTAAATTTATTTCTTATGAAGATAAAAATGTACTAAAGAGCCGTACTTTGTAATTTCGTTTTTAAAAATATAATAAGTAATATCACAGACTTATATAAATAGACTACTAATTCAATGTGATAGAAAGAGATGAACCTGATTCCGAGTTGTCCTTGTTTTAGTACCCATATGCGTCCTGTTTGTGAATATCATATGAATTTGTAATTTATACATTTATAAGTGAGAGAACTCAAATATAATGCTGCCCAGCACTGTCTTCAAACATGGAGATGAAGTTGACAGTCTATTTATAGAAGTTTGTGGATAATACTGGGAATGTTAATAAGTTTCATTATGTTATAGAAATACTTGAAATTGTGTTTGAGTGATAGAGCGATAGAAACATTGAGAACATTTAGTCTTAATGTTTCTGTCGATTTATTAACTTCCAAATAGAATGTCAAACATAATTTCAAGTCCATATTTCTATACTATAAAGAAACCTGTTGGCACTCAATATTATAGTCTTATGGATCACCATTCCAAGTTATATAATCAGAGTAGGAATTGCAATAATAATTGAGCATTTCAACTGACAATGACAAGACTGGTTATTAATATGTATCTGTAAATTATGTATCTACTGAGGATAATTCTGTGAGAACCGAAACGTTTGGAACAATGATAGATGTAATTTAAATTGTAAGTTAAAAAACAGTTGTTGCACTGTTAGCATGCTCATTGATCCTTGTATAAACACTCTAAATTTAAATTTGTATTTTATTGAGCTTTTGAAGACTGTTTAATTTTCAAAAAATTTTAATTTTATTATCCTGTATAATTTTTGATAATTCTGAATACAACTAAGACTTACATTTGTATTCGTTATACAAATAGTATAAATTGTATATCTAAGTTGTGTATGCTAGCATAGCATAAGTCAGCACAACCTTCAAGATCCTCAGCACAATGATATTAAGGATATTTTATTCTTGCGCGTGGCTCTTCGCTCTGCTATTCCGTTCATAAACCGGATTATGGTGTTTCGATGTGAACTGTGGTTTCCTTCAGCAGATTCAACTGATGCGGAGCAGATCCGTGAGCACTTGCTGTTATTGAATGATTTAAAAGAATACACCAATAGCAGCGATCGCTCACGGATCCGCTCGACAACAGTTGAGTCTGCTGAACGCGACGATATTATACATTTGAGTTAAGCTAGCACAACTTATCTAATCTTTTTATTTTAAAATTTAGTTTCTGAATATTTTGGTCGCTGCATTTGAATTTGTGATCATTATTAAAATCTATTTCTTATTAAATAATTTATTTTTACAAATAACGATACTGTATATACTGTATATTTTACTAAAAATTATTTGAACTATTAATCCGCTATATTGGATCGCCATTGAATTGTAAAATTCTGACTGAGGGTTCAATGATTCAAAAAAATCTCCGGGTTTTGTATAAATCAAGTTTATACAAAAATTCATGACACAAAGGATTAATAATTAAATTAATAAATATCTATTATTATAATTATCTGTTACAGTTATTGGACTTATTTGATTCGGAAGATCCCAGAGAAAGAGATTTCCTGAAAACCGTTTTGCATCGTATTTATGGCAAGTTCCTGGGTCTTAGAGCCTTCATACGCAAACAGATTAACAACATTTTTTTGAGGTATTTATTTCAATAAGTTATTGAAAATGGATAGTTTATAGGAAGTTGTAATAGATGTGATAAAGTATAATCAAAGAATGAATGTTTTATTTAAAGGTGGTACACTAGGGATGTCAATGTGATAATGAATGGCGCATAGTTTGGAAATAAAATGTCTTATTATTACACTCTCACTCATTAAATGTAAAAATTACATTGTAACAACAAAATGGAAAAAACAAATTGGAATACATAGTGAACAAATTATTTTTGAGAAAATAAATCTGATTACACACTATTATTGTACTTTACTCAGCAGGGCTAATTTCCAATCTTTTATGCATACAAGATTAACCTTATGCGTTCATTGACTGCTTTGATAAAGCTGTCAGCCATTCTCGTTGATAGGAACGTATTTCATTTCAATGATTCTATCTGTAATCTTTTCACGAAATATTGATGAACATCAATATATTCGTGTGCTTGGATCTTGCTTTGAAACCATTTATTTTGGACTCAAGGCCCTTTGATTGTCGTATCCAGCTAATTTTTGTTATTTTATTTTTAACGTTCGACTTTAGGTTCTGATCGAAGTATTTAAATTACAATGCTTCTTGTACCGATAATGTATTCGAAAGTTCACATTTGAAAACCGAATTTATTATTGTTTGATTTTGAATAACGTATCCTTTCAGTTCAAGATCTCCTTCAGTTTTGGAAGATGTATTTATTAAGTGAGCTTTGCCAAAGTTAGAGTTTGATATCCCTACTGATGATGACTTTCTTAGTAATTGAATATATTGATACTTTATCAGCTTTTGATACTGCTATATTGACGTACTTTATTTCGATCGATTTTAGATCTCGTTTGGAAATTTTTTGTTTCTTTTTCTGTGGCTTTTCTTTGTTTTTCTGCATCTGCTACTTCGCCTTCATCATAGTGGCGATACATCTTTCAAGATCATTTAGATCTATATTTCAGTATATCATGTACTTATTCGGAGGGAAAAGAATTTCTTCGTGGGGGAATTAGCGTCTTTATCGAAAGATTTGATGATGAGAAAAGGAAAAGTTAGACTAACAGAATCGACGAATAATGTTAACGATGATTAATATAATATTGTATATAATGAGGCGGACAAAACATATAAACACCACGTACTCAAAATAACGAATGATTTCTCTTTCGATTTGTACGCACACAAAAATAACTTTCTCTCCTTCTTCATCTCTTAATCCAATCAGAGTGCTTAGTAATGCTTAGTAATTTTTCTGAGAACCAATCACTCTTCTCCTATTTAATCAATCTGTTGGTAGATAGTAACAGCACACATAGGAATATGGCAAGGATAACATTCTTTACAGATCGGTTATTCTGAACCTGATTTCATTCGAATATAATTAAAATAAACAATGCTGGATAAACAAAGTTAATTTTAATTTTGACTTAGATTGATTTCACACGTCAATCTATGGCTAACAATATTACTACATACATACACACGCGTGCGCGCGCGTGAATGTTAAATTAGGAACATTTGATACATTAGGAACGTATATTTAAATCTGACAGAATTTTAGTTTAATCTCTAGGTTGAATAGGAACAGATTTTATCAGCTTCATTCGATAAAAAGATAAAGTAAGATTTGGGTGCAACATTGAAGCTAAGAATATTTTGAATTACGCAACGATTACCGTTGAAAATTTTTGATACGACTTTTGTAACTATTTTTAAACTTTTTATCTTCGCCCGATTTCAAAGTAGAGTCTTGGATTACTATATAATATCAACGTGATTTTTCGTTGATTTTTTTAAATGCTTCTTATTTTGTAGTCTCGAATCTTATCTAACACCTCTACACGAATGTGTATGTATTTTTTCATAGTTGAACATAATTCTTTATCGCAGTTGAAATCTACTTAAGCAATTTGATTAAGACACTTAACTAGATCAGAATCGGAATGACTATACTGATCATACCCTAGTAATTTAAAAATGTTTTTAGAAATGAATGATATGTATTATTGATTGCATATCGGAAATTCTACATTTTTGGTTCATATATTAATTTTTTCAAAGATGATTTAAAAAATTGATTATTCTTTCAATGAACTAGTGGTTCACGGAACTGCAACGACTACAAGATATGATGATAGATGTTTTTAGAATTTAAAAATTCGGAAAATTCGCGCGAGATGAAAGCTGTACCTTTATCAGACACTAAGGTGTTTAGAAAATAATACTTTCCAATAAGCGACACTATGTAACACAGTGACCCAGTACTTTTCAACTCGTCGATATAAATCGACACAAGTGAATTTGACTGTCATCTCTCCATGGATACCTGACTTGATTAATTTCTTTATTTGATATTATTTATTTTTCTAGAAGATATTCCAATAAAAGGTTAAGTTAATGATTTTAAAATTATAAGTTTGGAATATTTGAATATATTCAGAAACACATAGGTGAATCCTATTGCGAGACAATGTGACAAAAATACACTATTCTGAACAATCAGGATCATCATGTTCTAAACTATGGAAGATACTTAGTACGTAGTTTTTTTATTATTTTATTATTTATTGCAAAGATAAATGTATTGTGTACGACAATAATTAATTTAATAATGTATTTATCATTCATTGTCTCAACTCTCTTTCATTACACATATCTTTCTTTTTTAACCTAATCAGATTATCTAGTAACTATTAAGAACCAATTGCTCACGCTTTTCTCCTATTTAATCAATCCGCTGATAGGTAACCACGGCGCGTGTAAGAATATAGCATAAGAATAACATATATGATGAATTTCTTACAAATTAAGTATCGCACGCATAACGATGTAGATAATTTTGAGTTTCTCTTACAAGGAAAGTTACCCAGATATCTAATTAGCTTCGAAAAGTAATCGTTAGAAGTATAGTTATAGTATAGTATCTTATCTCTTAATTATGGGTTCATAAATAAGAACCAATTGCTCGGTGAGTAGGTTACATTCTGAAACTCATTGAAAAAAAGTGTTGCAATCTTTCCGACTGACCGACTGTTCAGTACACTAGGGATATATCTTTGAGTAACCCCGATGATGTACAGTTTGGAAATGAAATGTCTTATATATATTTTACAACATGAAATATTTTATATTAAATTCTAATAGAAATTTAATTGTACACAATATTGTATTGTTTAATTACACATAATATTGCAATAATAAAAATAATTTTTATCAATTTACTTTAAATTCTTTCAATGGATGCATTCGTCCATTTAACATTCACAATGCTCGCGTGCATTTCATCCTTGTTTAATATTGATAAAAAACAATGAAATAATATTTGCGAATACACTTAAAATTTCTATTTTGATATTTGTTTAATGTCTCGCTTTATTATTATTTCAGGTTTGTGTACGAAACAGAACATTTCAACGGGGTTGGTGAACTTCTTGAAATTCTGGGTAGCATTATTAACGGATTCGCTCTTCCTTTAAAAGTTGAGCACAAGCAATTTTTGGTAAAGGTACGATTACATTCTTATAATTAAGAAAATTGAAAATATATAACAAAGATTCAGATTTTAAAATATGTTATTGTACACATCCTACCCACTAATGTTGAATCAAGCTCTCAGAAATGTTGAATACTGCATCAACATCGCAAAATGTAGATTCAACATTGAAAATATATTGCAGAAATATTCGGTGTCGTTGAATTTATATCTTACTGACGTTGCAATTCAACATTGATTCAACATTGATTTAATATATATATGCAATATAGATTTTACTGATTCATCGGTAAAAAATTTTTCATTTATTAATTAATTTAGTTTCATTGCTAAAATAAATATTATTGATTAGCATCATATTTCAGAATACATATAAAATTATTATTAAAAAAAATTTTCTCCTGAAATCGGGAATTAATTTTTTGGTTTCGAAATGGTCACCTATCCTAAAGTAAAGCTGTACCACAACCGACGCTGCTTGACTTCTGCAATTATACAAACACTGAATGTTAATGGATGT